TTTTTTTTTTGGTGTACCGCTAGCCTCGCATGTGTTTATCATGGGTTGTTTATATTATTTGATATGAATTTTTGACTGGTCCCTCACCCATTTTCATACGCTGTATTCAAATTCCTCCCTAGTCACCAATACGAATCGCATTTTGATTCTTATAAATTAATAAAAATAAAATACAAAATATTTATTAATTTTATCTCATTTTTCAAAATTTTACATTTAATAATATTTTACAGAATATCTCTATTGTTATTTTTAGTTTCTTATGAAATAATAGGTTTATATATAATATTATTTATTAAAAAATAAAATAAAAATACAAAAAATTATTTGAAATAATCTTTGATAGTAAAAAGAAGTTTGCTCTGTTCTTACGATGATTTAAGGTTCTGAATCATTGATGTCTTTGACATCGATGATACGGCTAAGACCCTGTCTTGCCTTAAATCATTGTAATGAATGTCTCAAACAAAAATTTGGACTAACTATCAGTCTCTCTCTCTCACTCCCTCTCTTTTCAGTATGTGGTTGGTATATATAAAAGAATTTCGAACGCCTCGATGCTTATGATAAGCAATCACTAATGTAATTGCTTCTAAATACAATCTCATTTTCGAAATTCTTTTTATTTATTAATATCAAATTTTTAATAAATATTTATTTTTTGTTAAAATAATCAGTAATATGTTTAGAATAAGTTTCTAATTTAAATTTTTCTTCTGTCGCTTATATTTTAATTGAAATATGGGATATCAAAGTTTTGGTAAATTTATATTTTTGAATTCTTTTGAAGTAGGGTATAAAAATAAATTGAGATCATGAAGAATTAGTTAAGAAAAAAATAACTTTTAACAAAATGGAACCGAGAATTACAGGAGGTGAAATAGTAATTGCAGAAAACTCCAGACTAACAATAAAAGTTTATGAATTGGAACAAAGAATACACACTTTAAATTTCGATAAAAATAAATTGATTCATAGAGTTGAAGAACTTGTGAATGAAAAGGATCGACTTGAAACAGATAATAATCAGATTCATGCAGCAAATGAGAATCTAACGCAATTGAATGACATGTTAAAAATTGTTTTGAGAGACGCTGAAGTTGAGCATGACCATTTTCGTGCAGCAAATATCAAGGAATTTGATGATTTTATTTTGAATTATATTTTTGGGTTGTTCGATAATATTGGAATATTGTTTCGATTTGATAATCAATACATGAGAAATATTATTAATTTGTTGAGATTTTATAATTTCTTCAATATACCTATTGTATTTCATTATACGAAAATAATTTATAGAAAGTTTTTGTAGCCAATTTTCATAATCCCATATGTAAATTTTATGGAGATAAAGAGAGTTAGGGTTGTAGAAATACTTTTTGTAAATGTTATCACGATTTATTTTGAACTATATTTACTTTTTTTTGTATTTGCAAAGTTTGACATAGACTGTGTTTTATTCTTTATTTAAAATAAAATTATAAGTTACTGAATATAATGAAATATAAATATAATTAAAAAGTTACTGGGTAGCTATTACGATTCACTGTTTTTTCATCGTGTTTTATTTTAAAAGTTATAGCTTGTTGCTTTGCCCGTTCGCTAGTTCTTTTTTTGTTAACATAAAACTTTTTATTTTTAAATTTGTTATTTTCCCACCATTGAAATCACCAAGATTTTTACTTTTAATAAAAGTAATTCCATTATGTCCTGAGATATTATTTCTTTTTAATTTACAATTCATTACATTTTCTCATGCTGTATAAATTAATTAATTATAAATTTAATATTGAGTTTGCTATTTGTTGGTTTATTTGGTTTTGCTTTAGTGTTTTTGTAATCAATTGTGTTTGATATGTTATTTAATTTTGCTTCATAATATTTTTTATATTCGATTACATGGTTCAGAACAGATTTATCTTCACGATCTCCAAGAAATCAACGTTTGTGTAGCTGTTTGTTTTTATATTTTTGATATACCCACGAGTTCCGAGATTTTTCATAATATATATTTTCGAAACTAGATGTGTTTGTATTTAACATTTTTCTAAACTAATTTTGGGAGCGAGTATTTATATAGTTTTTTGTTTTGATACATAGTAGATTATTGCTGTGGCACATGATATTAAACAAATTTAAATTTCCTTTTTAAGAATAATATTTAATTACTGCAGTTATTAAAAAAAGTATATAAGGGTGTAGTAGCACAAAACAAATACATGAGCAAAAATAAAAAATTCAAACAATGACGAATATTTCAAGAAAAACACAGTTTAGACGTTTCATGTTTACGATTACACAGATAATTTTCAAAAATATAAAGAATTAATAAATGAAATTGTTGACAGAAAAATTATTCGATATATAGTTTTTCAATATGAATATACTAAAACAAGTAAAAAACATATTCAAGGATTCTGTATGCTATGAACACAATTGAGATTGGGAAATTATAAATATGGTAAAAAAGCTTCAATGATTAAAAGTATTTTTCAAGACGAAGAAATGCATATTGATTATCATAATGGAACATTTGAAGATGTGATTAGATATTGTAAGAAAGATAAAAATTGATGTTCAAAACATCATCTTTATTGCAGATGTGATTTTTTTGATTTAACAAAAATATGCGACAAATGTGATGAAAGTTGCTTGGAATTTCGAACATTCGCACGCGTTGATGATAATAATTCTGAACCATTTGAATACAGAGAATTACCAACAAATAATAACGCTGAAGGATTCAACCAATATATAGAAGAACAAAAAAAATATATAAACAAACGATTGAAGATATCAAAGAACAAATCAAACCAATAAATGAAATCGTTATCGACACGTTTGTTAATTCAGGAATTGTACCACATATAATCAAAGAACTTTACAACACAATTTGAGATAGTCAAAAGAAATCGTTCAAGAGATATTTTACTCCTTGCAACATCTATATTTATGGTGACTCGAGAACAGAAAAAGATTACTTGACACAAATACTTTTTCCTAACGCATATCACAAGTCGCAAAATAACGGAAAATGGTTCGAAGAATATGACGAAAATAAAGTTTTTGTATTTGATGATTTTTATAATCACAACATGGAGTTTTCGACTCTGTTAACATTAATCGATAACAAACCACATACCGTACAGAAAAAAGGCGGGCATCTAAATTTTTGTTCATTTGTAAATATATTCACGTCAAATACATCTTTGCGAAATCAATATGTTTATTTCGAAGATACCCCATATTTTGGAAATGAGACTGTTAAAATAGAAAACAAAAGAAAATATTCTTCAATTTATAA